CTATGCAATGTTTTTGATAGAATAGAATGTGCTCTTCAATATGCAATTGAGCTCATTCGGTTTGGTTTGGCAAAGTGTAATTAATTCTGTTTTGAATGTGAGTAGGAGTGACTCTTTTTTTTGCCCCCCCCCCCTGTATATGCAAGGGCCTGGCGCCCTTTTCGCGCTGTGCCTTTAAGATAATGTCGAGCTGATGCGGGAGAAAACTGAACCAATGAAAGACCATTAACGTGAATAAAACTTGGAATTAGGATATTTATTGAGATGCGGTAAGGTGAGGAACATATGGAAAGTAGTGATCAGACAGTAGAAATTGTAAAAAGTACACAAACTTGTTCTTTTTAATTTGTTGAACATTCAAAAATAGGTTTTGTAATAAAAGAATTAAAAATGGTAATTGAGCAGAACAATATGTATTATTATAAAGCGTATAATGAAGGAGTACAGAATAATGTTATGCAATAAATAAATAAACAATAAATAAACACTGACCTTATTGCTCTGAGGTGAGCGCCTAGCCATTGGAGGACTAGCTCCTATCCCTGAGGTATGTGAGGAATAACTAAAATAAAAGAACTGATTACTAATTGCTAGTGAAGAAGTTATTGGATTCCATAACTTATTCATAACTATACAATCGTTATTTTACAAATTTTTAGGCTGATTTGATTTTTCACACTTTTCACCGCCACTCAAACGAATGTCGGGTTAGAAAAGCTCGAATTTTATAGCAAAATAACATGAAAACATTAAAAAAACAGGGGCTTTGATTAAGCAGCCTTCGGCCGATTGTGTTTATATCTATTTCTTTATTAGGCGAAAAAACATGCGGCTAGATAAGGTCGAAATCGCGTGCGCAGGAAAATTCAGGTAAAAAAACGAAAAAAAAACAGAAGAAAACAAAAAATGAGCCTCACAAAAAGGAATTTAAGCTTTGGAGTCTTTACGTTTCTTAGAACCTTTTTTGAATCTGATGGCGCAACCTTTAAGATTCAAATGGGACAGCGCACTGTTAACGAAATGCCTTTACATCAACGGCAAGCATTTTCAGTACAGATATTATAACTGTAAATAATATTCAATATTCTTAATCCTTTATTATTACTAAATCACAAAGATGAATCATTAAGAGCTACATGAAGCCGCCACTATTTTAAGCACACCTATACGAAAACAAATCATCAGAAAACTAGTATTACCTGGCGACAGACGATCGGGGACTCGCTCCACATCCTTGGCTAAGCCTTGGCGACGCCCTCGCCGCATTCAAGGGCGGTTTCGCAGCCAGCGCTGAAAGTGTCCACGTTTCAGGGATTGCTTTCGGGTGGTTTTTTCCACATGCTCGGCCTGAGGGCTCTAAACGCCGCTAAGTGGCGGCTTTTTGAGAAACGTGGAATGGACAATGATTTTTGAAGAACTGCTCTCTTACGAAAAATTTGAAAGAAGTCAAAAGAACCCTTAGAATTCAATGAAAATATTAAGGGGCTCAAAAAAAAACGTAGGAAATTATAGTGGTTCTAGTGCATTTTCCACCCCTTCATGAAGCCATATTCACACTTTAGTCAGCCTGTGTAGCGCGTGCACCATAGAATAGTTATTGATTTTGCGCAGGCGGCCTATCAATCAGTATCCATTTAGCGCTGCTCTGAGAGCGATTTAAGCTGTCAAAACCTTTGAAGCCAAAAGAATTTTTCTGAACTCACATCCGTTCCCATAGCCATTTGTAGTCGAATAGGTGGTGCCATAGACGTTCGAATTGTTGCATCCGTTTGAAAGGAAGCCGTTTTGCATCGAACGTCTTGACGTTGGCGTTCCACCGCTGGGCGGTCGATGGTGCACGGCCGCCGTGGACGTGCATGCCTGCAACACGATACTTAGCGACAACGATTTGAAAGGGGAAAAACACTGTTTCCTCTGAATCCTCCTCGTTTTTCCGCACCATCCATTCGATTTCTTCGGAAATGTGGCGAGAAAGGGCCGAAGCGAAACGAAAATTGACGTCAAGGACAATTCAAAATTTCACGCCAGCCATTTCGCATTTCACCGGCCTTAATTCATTCCCTGATGTACCTGATTTACATGTTTTGAAGGGAAAAGTGCGAAGCGTTTTGCGCTATGACTTCTTTTTTAGAACGCGCCATGCCTTCGACATCCATTTATTGTCATAAGTTCATTTGAATCTTTATTTCTTATCGACCACACTATTTATTTATTTATGCGTTATTGAACGCGCTAGGACCATGACATACTAAGTTGGGGCAAGGATGGCCGAGTAATATAATTCTACAACTATGAAATAACAACAAAAAAATCTCATATATCTCAAAAATCTTTAAAAAAATATCTCTCCCTATTCTTATCATTTGCGGGGCCAGTTTTTATTGAAATACAAAAAAACGCTTTATTTCTGCCGTTCCTAAGAACGTGACAGACCCCCTCGGAATAAAGGTTTGTTAGCTGGAGCGCAGTAGGATGCAAGATTTCGAAGCATGGACTACGCTCGGGTGCGACCAGCGCCATTTATCCACTCGCCTTCACTCAACCATATTTAGGGTAAGGAACAGACAAATGGGCGCTATTGCAAAAATGGGCGACGGGGACATTGTGATGGCTTTGCATTTTGATCGCGTGAGACATCTCCCTTTTGTAAAAAAAAAACGAGTCCAAACCTTATTCGGGGCGAGAGAGACTTAAAGGAATCTTCCACGGAAAAAGCTCCGCCTCCATTACCACAGAAAAACGATACCTTAGGCCCCTAGCCTCATGAGCATAGCAAAAAGAACGGAACATAAGCGTTAGTTTCGATAATACTAATCCTACACACAAGACAAAATGATCACTCTTTCCGTGGAAGATTCCTTTAAGGTATCGTTTTCTGTGGTAATGAGGGCGGAGCTTTTTCCGTGGAAGATTCCTTTAAGGGTGCACGAGCGATTTTTATTTTCCGCCGAGTTCCTGCCCGACCAGACTCAGTACTGTAGGATGCCCCCTTATCTTGTGATAGCGCCGAAAAAAAGTGTTACTCAGAGTGGCCTTTTCATCACCAAAAAGTCATGGGACCATTAAAAAGTGCAATCAAAGCAGGGCCTTGAATGGATCTTTAGTTCGAAAAAATGAAGAATAGATGTGGAAAACCTTTGCCCAGTACCGATCGATTTTTGAGCATCGGCCGTTAACCGGAATGAATGAGTGCATTACCTCACATGTCGGAAATCGGAACCCAAATGTTCTAGTGCACCCTGTATTGTAAAAGCCCTGAGCTCACCAAATACGACCAACGTTCATGATCCTCCCCCTCTCCCCTTATATAATTACTGCGGCCGCCCTCTCCCGACCCTCTTCGCACTGCGCCATCGAGCCGCTTTACAAAACCGGTGGTGAATTTCAGATAGTGAAAATGGCGCAGTGGTTAGAGAAGGTGCATGACCGTTATTTGATCAAGATCGAAATCCGTCGACGTCGACGTGAATAAGGATCTCCTCGTTCGAGTGAGCCTGTTCTTATCTGATGTGATCGAAAAGAAAAAACCGAGCAAAGAATACTATCTACTCAATCAGCCCCTTCTATAGGGCTCCTCT